GTCGACCTAATAACTCGCAACTGTCAAACCAGTAACATGAGTTGAGTCGTCAAAACGATTAGACTGTACTTGGTCGTAGCTATAGTGAGTGCTCAGTCGGTAAAGACATAAGACCTCTCGATTGGGTATTCACTCACTAAGTTGCAATTCCTCGCTGTCTCTTTCCCTACATCTTTCTCACCATCACCATGCTGCGCTCATAAGGAATATCTCCTAAATAGTTGGTCGTTCATAAAAAAAAAAAGTTTGCACCAAACACCACTTTAAGCACGTCACTGTATTAATTTATATATTACCTTTGAAATATTTTGATCTTTAAGCCAGTGTGGATCTGTTTCTGTTTAGAGTTCAATTAGGGTATATCAATTAAATATGTATGTAAGAAGTTCCGATCTTTTAAATAAATTTTTTTGTCAACTTCGAACCGACCATGTACATGCAATGCCTTGTCACATATTGAACGACAAACTTAATATAATTTTATAAGTGAATAAGTTGGTAGGCGAAGTAATAGTGAAGAAAAGTCTAATACATAAATAAGTAAAACAATATCCATCGTAGCGTTGTACGTTTGCACATTGTCGCGACCTCATTTTCGGGTTTGAGGTTCAGGTGTTGCTATTTATCTAAACTGGCAAGAAATTGCAGAAAAGAATACCTCAAAATACGTTTATAGTTTAAAAACACAAAAACAAAAAAAAAAAAAATGAATATATATTGCCGTAAACAAGCATATTATGCATATAAAGCATTGTCTACAATAATAGGTTCAATAGCCTATAATAGCAAATGCAAAAAGAAGCAAAACATGCAAATACACTGTTAAGAGCTTCAAGACATTTTGCAACAATAATGCTTTCACAGAGGATATATTTCAAAAATCGATTTTAATAACCAACGAGTTGAGCATGTGAAGCCAACTGGAAAAGATGATTATTTGCTTTCATCTTTTCGCCGTTAACAACAATTTTTCAATAAAAAGTAAAACCATCTAAGATTTTTTTCAGAACTTTTAGTAAGAGATGCTTTCAAGCTTCTAGAAAAGGTGGAAAACATCCTCTGTCTGTACGATGTGCTTTCCTTGAAATTTCGAGCTTGCCTCCAAGAACGGAGGGAGAAAGAGCTTGAATCAAATCAGCTGAATATCTGTTGAGAAATGGCATCGTAGTGTCTAACTGGCCTGATACACTCACAATATGCTTTAAGGAGTGCTGTTGATTTAAAAATATTTCCAAGTGAAAACATTTTTCTCAGGACGTGTGCTATGTAGACGCAAAGTCTTATGTCGGAATCCGACTTAGTGTTTCTGCGAAGCAAATGCAAAGTTAGTGATGGAAGTTTTTATATTGATTATCGTTTCTCCTATTGAATTCTATTACTTCTTACCGTGTTCAACATGCCAATCCACCTTTAGCAAATACGTTACACGTTGCACGGCACTTTCAAGTATAAAATCGTCAAAGAAAGACGATGGAATGCAGTTGCGTTGCAAAAGATAATAAAAAATGTATCATAATTTAAAGACCTTTCTGAAGAATCTTGCAAAAAGCTAAAGGCGTTCTTCTCGAAACACGTAAGGGATTTTCGATGAGTTGATGTGAATAGCTTTTCATACTAAAAGAGGGGCCTTCTTTTGGTCTATTGAACTTTTTCATTGAAACACTTGACAATTATCCAAAAATCAAAATTTTTAAGATCCACTGAATGTTCTGCTAACCACAGGAATTAAGATGAAATGTTTTTTTTCTTTTAAATCCAATTCGCTACGAAAAACACGACGACAGCAGAGTCCAATTTTCAAAAATACATATATGTAGTTTTGAACTTATACATTCTTAATATTCTGTCAAAACAGCATGTTTTTTATCCTTTGGCCGTGCTTTCTTCTTTTAATAAAACATCGTTCAGAATACTTGGTTTGCCTACAGAATAATTTACTCGATTGTAACCTCTAGCCTCGGTTCTAATAAAATACGATAAAAATGTTCCATAAAGAACGAAAGTTCTTTTGAAAGCTGCTCTCAAAATTCCGGGTGAAGCTTTCCGAACAAATGCACAAAAAGGCCAAGTAGACATGTTGAATTAAGACGGATGTTCTAAAGTGTTGTATGATATTTTTCATAAAGATTTCTATATATCGTTGCAGAATTGCAGGCGGAAAAAATTGTTGGAAAAATGTTTATGCAACAAAAATACATTTGTTTATATTAGGGCTTAATATTAAATGGCCTTCTCTAGCTTGCATAAAGACACATAATAAACATTCTTGTTGTTGCTTTAAAAATTCTTTACCATCACGTTTGCATTTTTATTCAATTGTAACCCATTATTCCTTTTCTTACGGACTAAGATACCATTTTACAGAAGACTATCGATAGTTCTTACTATAAACTTTATTTATTATATTTAAAAATTTCTTAAAAGCACAATTTGTCTTTCATAAAAAACTCTTTATATTTCCAAAAGCGAGGAGCAATTAAGTTTTCGTTCAAACCATCAGTCGTAAAATAGTCGATATTATCTATTATCAGAAAGTATAATAATCATCCATAGAGACATAAGCATTTTGTTATTAAACTTCTCTCTAGGTCCTTAGCTAGAAAAAGTTATAATACCGAACTATACTTTTCAATAACAATGCATAAATAAAAACGCTGAGGTGGAAGAAAACCATTTCAAACTATCAAAGATATCACAGAAAAACGCCACGTTTAACTTTAGATAATTTTACGGATGGTAAACCGGAAGCTCTTTCGGTGTCTTTTATCGAAAAATTATTTTAGGGTTTTGCGTTATCTTTTTTCTGACTGTCCGCTAGTTCCCGCTGTATCTTGACAAGAAAGTTGTCCGACTCAAGCCTACTCAATCAATTTAATATATTCATCCTACATCACAACTTTCGCTAAGAGTATTTTTATAGCCACCACGGAAAGACGAGATGTATACACACTTGCTGAAATCTTCAGAGATCCCTTAAAGTGTGTATATTCTTCTTCTTAGTATCTAATTCTGAATCGGTTTAAGCATGTTCGTCCGACCGTCCGTCCTTCTGCTTGTCTGGCTTTGTAATGTCTTATTTTCATATATATTTTATAAATGATCCTCCATCATATGCACCAAAATGATAAAAAGCGACCACGCCTACCCAACTTTATTTGGTATCGAAATCTCATTCTTTTAGTAAAACGCCTATAAGACTCTGAAAGAATTTCGAAAACCCGAACGTTTGTCTATTACTGACATGTACTTAAGTTTGAATCTACTTAGTCTGTCCGTACGTCTGTTTCCCAGTCGCTTATCGCAAAAACATGAATGTTGGATTCAAGCCAAGATGGACTAAGTCGGTCAAAAACCAGTCCCACAATGCAACGTAACGTACGAATACCTCTGTTTACCAAGGCCAGAAAAAATAGATATTTGCACGATGTACTGTCATAAAGAAGCTTCGGCCAGAGACGAATATAATTTTCATGTTCGAGGGAACAAAAAGGAAAAGTTTTTTTTTTCTATATATTTACAGCACTTGAGAGTTAAACTCGCGACCGCTCTCTTTGCCTACTTGGCGGATAATTTTACCCTAATGTTTTAATTACTGCACACTTTTTTGCTTAGAATGCTTAATTACAGAAGGAAAAAAAGAAATTGTAATTTGATTAAAAGAAATGAGAAAACTTAAAAATGTAATCAATTATGAAATAAATGATATTTAGCAGTTGACCTAAAAAAATTAAAAGTTCAAAATTTAATTTCCGGAATCCTTAAGGGAAAAGTTCAATTTCGTAAGTGCAGAATATAAATATAAACACAACTCTCTTACAATATATGTGAATTTTAAATACATGTATGCATATGTACACGTGTGTGTGTGTATGTGTGTAAATATAAACAAATTAGAACTTTAACTAGAATGTGATTAATTGCCACTTAACCTGCATAGTAAAGTTGTTGTTGCTATTGCTGTTATTTTGCACAAATGTCAGTAGCAGAGCTAATGGGGTTAGAGAAACAACCTCCAAATTTTTTTTTATATTAGTGGCGATAATGGACGCGGGCATTGCGGTTAAAATGAAAAGTTTACCAAAATAAATATCAAGATATTAGGTATGACGCGTAAATTTATTTAATTTTCTTTTTGACTGTTTATCACTTGACGCTCCTTTCTATGTGTGTATGTGCGCACACGTAAGGACATTTATTTGGCAATTAAACTGGAAGAATTCAGTTTTGCCTTCATTTTCATGTAAATTTTTCTTCTTCATTCTCTGAATATGAGAATGTTACGGTCTCTACGTAGCTCCTTCTTATGCATTTTCAATTGTAAAACAAAACGCCCGGTCATTGTATATCAGTTTTTGCCGCATGTATTTTTAGGTCAAGGACTTGTTGGCACTTGCTTAACTTTGATTTTTTTTGGTTTACATTCGCTCTGAAAGTTCACAAAATACACTAAACTCATGTAATGTGTTTACTTTGCTTTCCCAACTACGTGATTATGTAGAATATAAGAGAAAAGTTAGATTCTTTTCCATTTGCTTTGTTGCTCTGCTAAACACTTTGGTTCATTCAACTTCACTTTGTTAAACAACAAAGTTTCAAGACAATATGACGGTCGCTGTTGTTCTATGCATTCTCCTTTATTTTCGAAAAATATGAAGATTGTTGCGTGTGCAAAGCATTTCACTATTTCGCTAGACTGATTTCCTGTTGACCAACTTCTGTTTATTTCTTTGCTTCTCTTTCTCGTTTCATTTGAAATTTTCTTTCTTTCTTTTTTTTGTTTCTTATTGATTTTTATGTTGAATTTTTCACACCTTCAAGTTATTAAAAGTTGAAATATTATCTAAACTTACATTATTCCGTGCACCAACATCAGCTCCTAATTCAATCATACGATCCATTATAGACGTCTTATTATCCTTTGTTGCAAACATTAATGGAGTCATCCCAGTATTCTGAAAACGATAATAAAAATGAAAATATGAAAATGAAAAGCATACATATACACAATTTGTTACTTAATAAAAATCGGAGACATACAGCTATAAAAAACATTCTGATCTTTTCAATTTTATTCAAAAGTTTTCCTTTACTCTATTTACATAGTTCACACCGCTAAAGAATGATTTGAAATGGATGTAACTTTCAGTTATCTTCAGCTATGTTTGAACGCATGTCATCTTATTCCCCTTACGAGATTTCCATAGTGTTTGCTCTTGGCCCAAAACACGTCAGTCTTGGAAATTTTATCAAAATATCTCAACAATTGTGACATGTAAGTTGAATACAAGAAAACAAAACCGACAGACGATTCTGAATCGATTGATGTAATAATAGAAAGTGAACCGATTTCAAGTCCTTCTGCATGTTGCATACATCCGCACAGATTTAATATACCCCTACACCACAAGTGTCGCGAGGCTTATAAAAAAAAGCTTATAATTCGACCTAAGTAGCTTTTTACAGGTAAAAAACATTTATTATAAACGAAAATTCGCAACATTTATTACAATGAATCTGTTCTTGCTAGAGATGAAAACATAACGTTAAGGAACATTTCGGCCATTTATACGGAATTCAAAACTCTCCTAGGGTCGGTGAAGAAATCAAAGGAATGTTATTCGCATCACAATCAGGAAAACCAGCATCATATCTTTGGTGACTCGTTCATGATCAGCTGAAAAAAATCCTTGATATATTCAAACTGTAATCACTTTTAAGTTTTTAAGTTTTTATGTAAATTAAACGATTTTCCAAGAAACAAAACAGACACAATGGTGATGCTTCAACTGCCTCAGGCGACTGGCGATCCGCGAAAAGATTAACAACAATTAGAAGAAATTAATGCAAACATTTCCGTAACGATAACTTGCTTGAAAAAGCATGCATAAGCGGCGATTAAGATTTGTAGACAAAACATACATCGTCTTAAGAATCACAGTTCGGTGGTACGCACTTTATTCCAGAAGGAATTGAATAATAACGTACAACCGCGAAAGACGGTTCATATTGCAAGATTTGCAAAGCCATTCCTCTCTAATTATTTTATATTATTGTTGAGCACCTTGATAAGCTTCTTAAGCAAAGTCTAGAAAAATATTGCGCGTCGTTCGCAAAATAAATATATGCAGCCCAAGTTAAACACAATAAACCTACATTTCAAATCCTCATCATACGTTACTAAAATTGAGAGCACTTTGTAATATAAAAGCTTCTTTCTTGTACGGAAGTGTCTTTGGGAGGGCGTTTAAAAGAGTGATTCCATCTCAGCTGAATATTTCACATTTTTCGTTAAGCGAAAATGTTATTTTCCGACAATTGTCACCGAGTAAGATTAAGTATCGTAAATTTTTTCTAAAACAATTACTTTTTCAAAGCGGGTTGTAATAGGAGAAAGGATCTTCTCAATTGTTCAATCCAATTAACTTTCAATGGCATTCGTTCTCCAAAAGGTCCAAAATTTATCAATCGCGCAGACAGACAGATGGACAGACATGATTCAGCAAATACTTCTGAAACACTGGGTATTAAAAAATATGTCATTATGTCAAGTCTTACTTTAGGTGTTGCATACATACGCACACACCTACCGACTTAACCACAAGTGATATAGGGTAAAAAAGCGGGTATTTCTTGCTAAAACTCTTTTGAATATTAGTAACTTCATGGGTTGTCCTTAATATTCGGTTAAGACCAAGCCTGCATACAATCAGCCAACGTAGTTGACATCAATACAAATGCAGTTTTTTTGCAAATTGTTTCGCATATAAACAGTTTCAATTCAGTTTGTGCTTGTGCGCTTGAATATCGTATTATTTCGACTTTATTTAATGGTAATCAAATTGCTAAACCGTTTGGCTGACTGAAAAAAAAACTGTTTAGTTATTTTGTCATGTAAACAACAACCGATTTGTGTTGACAATGGAGACGCAAACGGAAGTTTAGAGGTTTCATTATTATTTTCAATTCAACTCCGATTCCGTTCGATTGATTTACATAAAATAAACACACAAATATACAATTTTATATAAATCCATAGATATATATATATATATATACATGTACGTATAGAATGAACGTTTAATGTCCTCTAAATAAAATACGTTGTCAAGTTATAGATAACTTACGGCATCGTGAACACCAGCCAAAGGGGTGGTATTGCCGTCTTCACCAACATTGGCTACATATTTCTCCAATTTCTTGAGCTCTTGTTCGCACGGTGTCCACTCACTCTTGACGGATAAGGCCAAAATTTTGTTTGCCGTGTCTCGTATGGACGCACCAGCACTTGGAGGTTTCGGTGTGGTGGCACCGTCAACTTCTTTACGATCGCCATTGCTAGAGCTATCGTCTTTGGGATCGGAATCTGCTTTGCTGGCGGGTGTAGCCCGATCGCTGGGTGCAACCGATTCATCAGGAGTGTTGCTAGTCGCTCCGCTGGTAATCGAAGATGGAGTTTTACGACCCACACCTGCATTGGGACCAGTGCCACCACGTCCACCACCTCGTTTACCAGGCTGCGACATGTTTCGTTAACACCACCGCAAACGTTGAAAGCAAACTTCAATTCACTAAGAAATCAAACACATAATGTTTGCGAATTTCTTACATTCACAACCGCATTTACGAACACACACACAAAACCCTTTTTGTAACTTTCCTTAAGCCAATGGATTACACAACAATCTTAATTCGATTTTTTCATTTCTTCTTTAATTTAAATATTTTTAAGGTATTTTGCATTTGTTTAAAGTGAAAATTTATCTTTGACTTCTACTTAAATAACATTTCAAATTTTTTTTCAATTTCTCTTTTTTAACCTTTTTTTTTTGCTTCATTTAAACGTTTAAAATTTATTTACGTTGCCACGAAAGGCTGGCAAGTTATTTATTTATTTATTTATTTTTTTTTTTTTATAGCCCAGCGACATGGTTTTCCTTTTTCTTTAACCGCATCACTTCCGTTTCCCCTGCATTGTTAAGTCTTAGCTTATTTGTGTTAGAAGGTACCCCTCCCATTTTGTTTTGCAAGGAAACTTTAATTTTTCTTTTCCATTCTTTGCAATATCCGCTAAGCCGTTTTTAATTTTTTGAATCAACCGTTAGTCACGAATGTCTCAGAATATCTGATTCACTTTAGGACTGCTAGCTAACGCTAGACCTTAAAGTAAGGAGGATTCGAATGCAACTTTCGTTCGATTCTTGAGCCTGATGAGCGTCATTACTTAGCAACATAACGAAGTCTTGCGCAGCAAAAAGGCGCCAAAAACTTATTTTGGCGCGTCTAACACAATTGCAATAAATGCTAAGTGCCGGTAAAGTAAGTTGTAAAGAAATGTTTGTGTAACGGTGTATCTAGGCATTATACACTATTTATGGTTGCTATTAAATTGAAACTTTTCTTCATTGTTCTCACCGGGACACGTACACGTTTACGCTTACAACGTAAATTGTTTACAAACAAAAACTGACGACTTGTTTACCTAACACCATAAGGTGTCTCTGTTTTACTTTGACCTAAATTTCATTGCTTTCTATCGTTTATGACCAAGATCTGTGATGCATTTTATAAAGCATTTTGTAGAACATAAGTTTTTTGAGTTTCACTAAAACTCCTCTTCGGAAATTGTTGTGTGATGCGAACGTACTTAGGTTATCTTAAAATGTGACAAAGAGGGAGTCTCCCGACAGCAATTGTTTTTGTCGGTAAAAGTTAATGCTACAGCGTTGAGTTTCAATTGCAAGGACGCTTACACCAGTGATTTGCCATAAGGTGAAAAAGTACTACACAATAGGTGACATGTTCCTCCATATCTTGCTTTAAACTTTCAGAAAAAATCTCGATTTCTTTAGAAGCACTACTCACTTCATTCTTACAAATACCTAGCTTTAGGCCAAATTAGCAAATAGTTTCCCGCAAAAATTAGCAAAAATTCCCGATAAATGAATTTAGCAAAATTAATAAGTTCCATGGAAGGAATTGAAAAGCAACTTAAACGATTCCTTAAACTGACGTGAGTACCATAATAATGTGATTTTTATTGAAACAGGGGATGAGGATGCTCACATCATATCATACTAAGCTCTAATTCGAAGTAATAATTACTTCGATTCGAAATAATGTGCTATAAAAGGTCAGGCATGTAATCAACATAAGGATCTTAATGTTGAAATTGTTAAAGCTTCAAAATTTATTGTAAGATATCATACTGACCGTTAACTTGAATTTATTTGCGGTTCTATAAAAACCGCTTCGGAAGAAGAAGATTAAGTTGATCGTTATATTTACTATGCTAATTAAAACGCCGCTAGAGAAGAGAACTAGCAAATCTAAAGTTAATTAATTTTAAAGTTAATTATTTTCATCAATTATTTTGATAAGCATTTATTGTTCAATTACTCTACAAAGTGTATACTTCTCTAAGCTGAGCTTTGAATAGATTTTCAAATTCGTCTTCTGCATAATAATAACTTTTGGCAAGTCAAAATCCTTTAAAGTTCAAGAAACCACGAACGTGATAAAATTCAAGCCGGGTGAAAGTGGCCGTTAATTTCTCCTATGGTCGCCGAATCTAAAGACTAAGTTAGGAAAATGGCTATTAATTTTAATCATGATAAGCGTTAGCGCGAGAACTAGTACAGTGCCCTTTAGCTTGAAGATAGCACTTTCAAATGAGGAAGTCACAAATTTATTCTAACCCATACAGTACTGATTGCAATCTCTCTTACCGAACCGGACAGAAATAATTTTCACTCCCAATACACAATCATGGAGCTTACTACCAGAGAAATTTTGATTGCCAACCGTCATTTCGGATTCAGAAAGAAAATGAAAGTGAGAAGATATCCCACCAAGATAGCTGACATCGTTTGATGTTTGTGTCTTTGCTAAAAATCATAAGTTTGTGCCTTTGTTCTGTTATGCTTTACCGTAGAGTAAAAAAAAAACCCATAAAATAACTATTAAAATTAAACAAGTAAGAAAATTACATTCGGTCCCGACCGAATCTTTTCTACCCATCACCGTAATTCGGAAAAAAAAGAAAGGAACTAAATTCTCACAGTTGGTTTTTTCCGTTTATACAATGGAAACGGACAATTTATGTGGTGTATGTGTTGTACTTTATCAATAACCAATAAAAAACACGGAAAACAAAGGTACGCACAAGTTAGCAGACAGGCGGTTAGGCGAATATGCTTAAATTAGTCCAGAATTTGATCGTGAATATGTATACTTTGTGTGGTGTTTGGAGCATGATTCTCCTTTCGCCGATGCGTATAAAAATTCAATCAGCAATCAATGTTTATTTACTGAAAGGATGCAATTTACCAAAAAGGTTGTAAAAACTTTCGCAGACATAAATTCTTTGGGAATAGCTGTCTTCCACAAATCTAATGAAGAAGAGAATTTTTAGGAGATATCACAAACTGAATTCTTTAATTATGAGTTAGTATATAGCACCTACTTATTTGCATAAGCACCATATCTCTGGATTGTTATATTGTTCCCATTGAAGGACAATAACTTACCACACCTTTTAACAATATTTACTTATTATCTTTATTGCAGATAGATTGAAAACAAAATACATTACATTATGCTTGAAAAAGCAGCAAAAATTTTAGAGTAAATCAATCTGGCAAATACAAGATTTGATAAAAAGTAATTTCTGTTCGTTAAAACAGGACCTTTCCCACGAGCTTTTTAGCCTTCGAAAGACTTGCGGTATTTGCGTAACACTCTTCTGTTACTGTATTTTCAGCCATCACTTGGAATGTACACAGAAAATTAACCGATTTACAAATATGATTTATCCAAATATGTTTATCTCTTAAAAAACATTCAAATACCTTAACAATTAAATGGGAAAAAATAAATAAATAACTATGTGCAATAAGCGTGGGCTTGATTAGTTCAAAAATACTTTCATTCTCACTCACTTACCTAATCTGGTCGTCATGTTGCACAAGATATCTTCATAAGAACGGACAATCGAGCTGCTGAAGCTCCTTCTTTTACTTTTGTTTTAAAACTGAGCGTAGTTTTTAAAACAGACGTGACTCATTTGAAGACGCCGATCAGGCTGACAGGTAGCTAATAGCGAAGGTTAATCTCAACTTTCGAAACTTTTCTATTACGTTGAACAAAGAAATGTTGGAGATTCGAATAAGTTCTTCCTTCTTTCCACGAGCGGGAGCATCTAGAAGAAAAATGGGCCGGGCATGTATATATTATATTCACTAGTGTGAGTCGTTCTCTAGCAAAAAATATTAAAAAGTAGTTCTTCTCGCTCATTTTTGAGGAGATGAGTGAAATGGCTGTTCACGTCCAATCGACTTTTTCCACAATTGAAAAGAAGTTTCAAACTATATGAGAAAGCATGTATATATTAACAAAGATAGATATCTGAAATTCGTTTTATATGGAAAACTGGCCTCCCTCTCACAGATATTCTTATCAATCACGTACATGTAAATGTAGAAATTCAAATTGACGCTGAAACTTCTCTCTGTTCAATTGTATTAATCTTGACTTTGATACTTAAATTAGTTTGAAATTATTATTAAATATAATTTACTCAGATATGCATGCAATTGCGTGGGAAAAATATATTTTCACGTATTTATATACAAAAGTATAGTGGAATATTTGAATAAAATATGAATTTGGTTTTTTGGCTTACGATGACATTGCAATGAAGCGAAACCAAAACGACGTATTTCCAGGTAGACTATGATATGCTAGCAAAATCAATTCCATTCTTCTGAGAGGTTTTGAAAGCGACCCCTTCTAGCTCAATGTGGAATATTTGAATAAAATATGAATTCGGTTTTTTGGCTTACGATGACATTGCAATGAAGCGAAACCAAAAAGACGTATTTCCAGGTAGACTATGATATGCTAGCAAAATCATTTCTATTGTTCTGAGGGGTTTTGAAAGCGGCCCTTTCTAGCTCAATGTGGAATATTTGAATAAAATATGAATTCGGTTTTTTGACTTACGATGAGGTTGCAATGAAGCGAAACGAAAAAAACCTATTTGCAGGTAGACTACACTATCAAATGCTACCAAAATCAATTCCATTCTTCTGAGCGGTTTTGAAAGCGGCCCCTTCTATTCCAAACAGAGATCTTGCACCAGAGTAGCGCTTAAAATATAAATTCAGATATTGTGCTCAAAGATTTGTAATTGCATTCATTTAACATTCAACAGACTTAAGAATTTTTCTTAGAATATATTTCGCTGCACTTTACTTGTACTGATAAGATGTTACATTTTGCTCATCTAACGCATCAGACCTTTGCATCTGGCACGCTTTCTGGTTTACTTAATAGGTACGCGTGTTATTAGATAATGTTATAATTTATTTAATAATATTCTCATAATGTGCCTTTAATGTATATTCATTATCTGATTAACAAGCCTTTAGTCAAGTACTTTAAAACTGATAATGGGTCGTTAGCAATATTATTACGACAAGCAATCAAGATATGCTTCGCCCATTTAATAATAGTGTGATGTGTATAAAACACAAAATGCGGCTCAAGACGAATCTTTACGATCTAACTCCATATTAACAATTTACGTAAGTTAATTTTCTTCGAAAGCATTACACTTTCCGAGGTATAAGTACAGAGTCTAATGCTTAATGTAATCAAAAGCTAAATTTCACAAAAGGAAAAGCAACCAGAAAATTGTTTTCAAGATCGCGCCAGGTTAGTGAAATTCTGAAACAGTTCCTTGTTTTAATGTGCTTCGCAAACACTTACACCGAATTAACTCGTTAACAGCTGAGGACTGGTTTCGTTTCTTAGGAAAAAATGGAAATCCAATAATGAAGCAGAGTCTGATCGCCATCTTCTCGGTACAGTTTCGAAGTCATGTAATGAAATACATTAGTTCAACGGAATCAATCCATACTTTATCACGTCACTCAATAATATCGTAGGATGACGTAGGCAGATCACTATCGACGAATCTGCTATTTTTGTTTTTTATAAAACAACGGGGAAGTCACTTAGAAAATATTTAAATTTCGCTTTCGTTTTCAGTTACTTATGCTAAACAGCTGACTGCGAAAGTGAGACTTAACTCTCTGATGGGTAATTACCGCCGAGAATTTTGCGCGTTGCCTCACTACAGCAAACTAGTCGTCAGAATCTTATGTAATTTGGACACGTTTCGTTTGAATATGGGGTAATATTGAGTGATACGTTATATATCGTAAAATATTAACAAAGTTTACATAACTTCCATAGCGATCACATGCACGTAAATTTAACATCACCATCATGATCTTATTAATGATTAAAAGAAGCAGCTTCGGTCCCGTTATTTACGTTTCTCAAGAATAAATGCAGCTCCTGCAACAACATTGATGGATTACCGTCCGCGTAAGGGCTGAAAATTAAATTTTCAATTATGAACGAGCTTGTTCTAGTAACTATAAGTGGGAACAAGTTGAACTTGGAGATGTAATGTAAATCCAAATATAATAAGCTTTCATTATCATATCACTAAACTTACCTAAGTCAATTGCAATATTCACGTTGATCACTGATATGTGTGCTTTAGGGAGCTACAGTGTATGTAAGCAAAGCAAAGATTACTTTAGGCTTCGTACGCAAACATTTATGACGCGCAGATTTTGTCGCTGCAACAAAGGAAATTCTCTAAGCTATCTCTACGAAATACACTCGATGATTGCGAAACAACCTATCTGTGTCAAAATCCAGCCAGGGAAGCAACGCAAGTGACGGAGACTTTAGTATACACATATATCACTTTATTTGTGAGGACTCATCGAAACATGACTCCTACGTAAATAGAAGTTATCGCGACGAAGTGTACGCAACATAGATGTTGGAAGCTTGAAAATAATCAAATTGGAACTTTGAGCCAAGTACGCCAAAGAAGGGAAGCCTTACTTTTGCTGCTCAATTCGAAACAAAGCGGTGCTGGATTGCCACGAGTCATGACAAATGGATATAACAAAGGAAACTCAAAACTTGAATATTTTTGACATTGCTGGGTGTAGTAGCGGCTTCAACAAAACATAGCTAGTGCTGGCTGGCGTATTATCAGCAACAACTGATGCCCCGAAAATGTTAAAAGAAAAGCACGACAATATGCAAAAGATATTAAAGGGCCACTTTTCAGATCGATCTTGGAAACTTGGGAAACAATAAATCTCCCGATTATCGCTTAATACCTGTTTCGATCAATGAGTTTATCTGACGATCTGTCTCATAATTTATCTCTGCTTTAGTATTCCTAACGGTCACGAAAAAAGTTAATGCGATCTTGCCTTCCTATAAACTATACAGCAAAACTTTCATTGCTATATTTATGTACATATATAGTATTAAAATTGATGCGAAGGGCACGAAATGTATCATTTTGGCAGCACACAACTACCAACACATATCATTACATCGCATATATTACATTAAGGTGGATTTGAGAAACTAATAAGAACTCGTGTGTTTATATATTTGTTTACACAATTCATGAAAAAACAATGATTTGTTTTTTGCTTGTATGCATTATATTTTCGTTCGTTTTTATCAGTTTTATGTGTCGCCTAATCGCAGCGGAGAGCACCACCGGCGCTAGCGTAAATTCAATTTATAATATTAACAACTGAGTTGTGAGAACAGTCGCTAAGAGAACGTTTAACACATACGATCAATAAGGGGATTAAGGTGAAAAATAAAATATTTTCATTTCGTAAAAACGGTTGTGGTGCTAGCTTTATATAAAAAAGAGGAAAAGTGTTTTCATGCTTTTCGTTAAACTAAATACTAAAGTGCCTTATAACGATTTATTAAATATTAAAAATAACATCAAAGGGTCAGGCTAAATAGGCATAATGATCAATAAATACGTTCACATTTTGAATCGAAAAATATTATTGCGAAGCGAAGCCGTAAATTTATCAAAAAAACGAATCAATCTCTTCTGGCATCATTTCAGTAACACCACAACTGCTCGGGCAACGTCGGTGGAAAGCAATCAAAGTTACATTAATTATTTAGGTAAAAATCCTTTAGCATATCGGAACATTGGCCAAGAATTGGAACGCGTTGCTGTAGATTATGGCAGCAACGAAGCTATTGTATCTTGCCACGAATCTAAACGCTATACGTTTCGTTCGTTAATCGATCAAGTCGATCGATTGGCAGCAAGCTTATTAAAACTTGGTTTAAAGAAAGGTGATTATATTGGCTTATGGGGCCCAAACAATTTGCACTGGTACCTGACAATGTTAGCAGCATCGCGAGCGGGTCTTATATCGGTTGGTATAAATCCAGCTTTTCAAGCACCGGAAATCGAGTATTGTTTAAAGAAAGTGAATATCAAAGTCTTGGTAACTCCTCTGCAATATAAAAGTCAAAATTTTTATGAAATCGTGCATTCCATTTGCCCCGAATTAACGGCAAGTGAGAAAGGTCCCATAAAAAGTAAAAATTTGCCGAATTTAGAAAGATTTGTAATCGATGCAGACAGTGTCCCGAGGGGAGCCCTAACTTTCAGTGAACTTCTAGACTTAAGCAATACGGAGGAAATAGCGAAAATTGCCGAACTGCAAAAATTCATTATTCCCGATTCGCCATGTAATGTACAGTTTACATCTGGCACGACTGGTAATCCGAAAGCGGCGGTTCTTTCGCATTTTAACTTTGTTAATAACGGCATACATATCGGCAATCGTAATTGTTTGGAAGGGCAAAGAATTTGTGTTCAAGTACCGTTATTTCATGCTTTCGGTGTTGTTATCACGGTAATGGCTGCCATGAGTAAGGGCGCTACTCTAGTGCTCCCTTCGCCGGGTTTCAATGCCGAAGAATCGCTGAAAGCAGTTGTTAAGGAACGTTGCACTGTAATGCATGGCACACCCACTATGTACGTAGACGTAGTACGTAAACAGGAAGACTGTAATTACGACTTGGATACCTTGAAGATGGCAGTAACAGGTGGAGCACCCTGTTCACCGCAGTTATTCTTAAATATTCAAAAGATTTTGAAAGTTGATGAAGTACGTAACCTTTATGGTCTAACGGAGACCACTGCCGCAATATTTCAGTCACGACCCGACGATAATAAAGATCAAGTGCTTAACACCGTTGGTCATATACAGGATAATATTGAGGCGAAAATAATTGATTCTGAAGGTCACACCGTACCCTTCGGCCAACCGGGTGAACTATGCATTAGAGGATATTGCACTATGTTGGGCTATCACGGTGATATTGAAAAAACCCAAGAAACTATAGGTGCAGATAAATGGTTGTATACCGGGTAACTATTCAACTTCTATCAGAGGATCGTTTAATTTAAAAACTCATATATATCTATCTCTCTGCTGTGCAATAGCGATCAGTTCATTTTAGAAGCTGATGGTTATGGACGTATTGTGGGTCGTCTTAAGGAGATGATAATACGCGGAGGCGAGAATATATTTCCTAAAGAAATCGAAGATTTCCTAAATACTCATCCGAACATTTTAGAAACCCACGTTAGTCCTAGTATCGCTTTTACGTGAAGAATTATCTTATCACAATTTATTACTGATTGTAGGTAATTGGGGTACCGGATGAACGTATGGGCGAAGAGATATGTGCATTTGTTCGTTTAACTGACACGGCAGGCGAAATTACACGCACCAAGCTAAAAGAATTTTGCAAAGGAAGATTGGCGCATTTCAAAGTACCGTACTATGTGATAGCAGTTAAAGAGTTCCCAAAAACAACTTCGGGGAAAATACAAAAATTTAAATTATTACAACAGTTCGAGGAAAAATTCAATACAAAACAACTTAATGCTGGTAACATATAACAATTTAATATTACGATTGATTGAGGTAAAGCGAAAGAAAAAGAGAAGGAAAAGAATGTTTATTTTGATTCTCGATATCGAATAAACTCGACAGGTGTTGATAATGGGTTAAATGTAACGTGTAGAGATTTTAAAGTCGCTGATAAAGTATGCATTTCTCTTACTCTTATCATATTCAAACTACGCTCGAGTTTACTCGATATCGAGAATCATAAATAGGCCCCAATTTGTAGTCTATACGTAGTACTGGATCAAAAAAATAAGGTTAATTTATTTGTAACCGCAAAAATTTGTATTCGTTCAAATCAATTTCAAACAATTTCATTGCCTTCATAAGGTAGCAGAAGGAATGCATAGTGTACAACACCACGATAGTCAAAGAAAACTGCTAGCAACACCTTGACTTTGGCAAGGTTTTTTTGGGTCTTTACTCATCTTTTTCACGATATTCACTCAGTCTACGCCCATCTCATTTCACTTCGCAAATAGAATATAATGCAACATTTTTGATCAACAAAATCACCCATTGTGAAAAAACGGGAAAAATATTTTTTGTGTCGTACAAAGCCTAATTGAAACACTAACGCCGTTTGCGATGTGAAATTTGACACAGATGTCTGTCACAGTGCTATCAATTTATAAAGAAAAAACCGATTTGAAAGAATAAATAAAGATCTTTGTGGTTATAAACAAATTCAACTTATTCTTTAGTCACAATATTATACATATATATGTATATATATGTCGATTTAAAGTGTACAGTTGAGTAGAATGAGTTTCCCAATCGAACGTTATTATTCAATCTGAATCCTCTCCTACTATAATTGCATTCTACGAATCTATACAAACAAATATACATGCATTCACGTGAGGTTTAGCAAAAGTTTTGAAATGTGATTAAACTTTTTTAAAATATTCATGCCGTTATTAAAAACTACTGAAAGTGACTGTGATTCATCAATAAAATATCCCTCCCATAAATGTTAAAATAATAAAAAAAAACTTATACTGTGACTATAATACTTTACTTTATCATAGGAGTGTGACTACAGCAACATCCAACAGCGATGGTCTCTCGAAGAAATCGCTTGAAACTTAATTATCGATCCGCTGTATTCAACAACATTCAATCTAGAACAGATAGCAATTATATACTTATTGGGGCATTTTCAAAGATCAGGAGAGAGGTTCACAGCCATGCATCCTTGCCATTAGTCATTAATATTAACAATAATGTTAGTCTTTGTTAGTTTTGTGCTCTAAAAAATTTGGCATATTGTTGTCGAATGTCGGCCGCAAGACTGTCTACCTTAACAACGCCAAAAAAGGAAACGCTTTCGAATAGAGTGTCTTCTGATTTCATCGTTCAAATTTAATTCTTTATTATTTTAAAACATGATAAAGCATTATCTTGATTACTTGTCCTTGAAAACATGAAGAAAAAAACCGACAAGGGCTGAGGTTATTGCATCAGTAATACCAGCAAGATAGATCAAACAGATAATGATATCAAATTTTAAATAACAGAGCACTGATAAAATGTTGAAGATATTTATAAACAAAAAATCAAAAACTAATCTAAAATGAAACTTCATTAAATGGATATTTTTGAAAACAATTATAGGTTCTTTTTTTTATTGTTATCTTTAATTGTGGTTGCTGTTGTTGTTGTTGTTGTTCTTGTTGTTGTACACATTTCATTATATAATTTTTTGTCATCATTACAATTATTATTTCTTATCTTAAATCTTGACGAATCGATCATTTCTAAATGATCGCACGCACATAAAGATCTATAAAGAAAATGCTTTGTTTTTTTATGCTTTCGCGGGATAGAGGCCAATATATGTATGTATGCAAGTGTAGTAATAATTATTTGGTTATCATTTTAATTAAATTCTTTCAATATGTTCACAGACATCTACGGGAGAAAGTTAACGAAAGAAATGAACGAAAAAATAGATAAATATAGACAATAAGCTAATAATTCACACGTGCATATATATATGCAGTTAATAATAATAATAATCATAATAATAATCATAATAATAATTCTTAAATCTATTCAAAAATACACGCATGATTGTGATTCTGAAGTTTATTTAGAAATCTAAGCTAAAAAAGCTAAGTGTAGAACTATTAAAATTAAATCAATCACTAACAGTAAAGATAATAAATGAAAAAAACATTTCGGAATATAAACCATATAATATACCGCATATATTGTAACATCATCGTAAACAAGACATGATCGCCTTAAATTATAGAAAACATCGGTTAACATTCAATTACAAAACTTTTTTTAAGAATTTTCTTATAGCAAATATTCTTTTTTTTTTTTTTTTTTTTTTTTCATTTCCATTGAAATTGTATATAAATAAAAAAAAAATGAAAAAAAAAAATTAAAGCTAACATGTTAAGAATAGTAATAAAAAGGCTTTTCAATCTAAACTCAAAGTTAAGTTTTATTAGAGATTAGATTCTTCCTTGTATAGAAATGTTTTCATTTCATTTTTGTTTTGCTTTTGTTCTTTCTGTTTTGGCTTTCATTTCTCTACAGTTCCCTAAATAATAATGCAATCTCATTGGAAACGTTTAATCTAAATTCTGATGAATTTCATATTTTATTTTATTATATTATATTTACATATAGACACGACATATTTTTGCTAAAGTTTCCCATTGTCGGGTCTCGCCAACTTTTTATTATTTATTTAAACTTAATTCTCTGTTTTGCATAAATTAACAATTTTTTGTTTCTACTTACAACACTTAACACACTACGACGCTTTTCTGTGGTGTGTAAACATTATATTTGAACCAAGAAAGATTTTTCCAATACTTAAATGTATTTCGCCGTCATACAAAGATAGTCGACTTGTATCGTTATAATAAATTACGAAAGTAAAAAGTCTTGTCTCGCAGATGTCCGAACGAACGAATTAGAAAATTGCGATTCATTTTCACGTTCGACAAAGTGAAGTCAAGAGGAGCTGCCGTTCGCAACTTCAGTCGTAACGAACGCATACTTAGTAAGAACAGTATTTTAAAGTAAGTCTGAATAAAATTTGAATCATTCGAAATCCATTTTGTCAAATTATTTGCGGGGATTTCACAAAACATTCTTCGAAGTCTGAGCAAAGCAATAAAAACCCCCTCTTATCCTTTAAAGTGTCCATACATTATAAAACAAAAATTGATTTGACTAAGCCTTACAAAGCTTAGACTATTAAACGTCATTGGAATAAGTTAGTTAGTAGATTGTTAGAAGCCAAAGAAAATGAATGTAAAAAAATTGTACTTTCATTTTAAAAGTTCAAAAGCTTGTCTCGACAGCTTGCTGGAAGCGTTCTGCTGGAATCAGACAACGACATAATTGACGCGAAATCGAATTTTTCGATATCTAAGAAATCTTAGGAAAGTTTTCCGTTTATAGTGAAATTAAAATACAACACTTTCGAAGATGACCGACTGCTTCCATATCATTCTAAGATTTGTCCTTTGCTTTTTCATCCCTCCCGTGACGAAGAATTTCGATATAGTTTATGATTAGTAAAAGAGGAGTTTATAGATTCTCGCCCGTCTTGGTGATCACTGCTGCGCTTTCTATAGCAGCTATAGCAGTAGCTAGCACGTTACGTTAATGATAAGAAATATGTTTTATTTAAATTGTAACCGCTTTCTTTTGTTGTATTTCAAATCACAAATAAGTAAAATATGTACAGGACAAAATTTATAATGCATTCATAAGGATATAAATTAAAATAAAAACAAAAATATTTCATGTATTGCTAAAATAATTCTTCTCTTCCAATGGACGACGCAGTACTTAAAGGAGAGATGATAGAAGGCAACACTCACTCTCGCGTATCATTCTTCTTTCAAAACACACAATGTAATCAATCCGAAATGATCTCTATCGACCGATCCCATAGGGATTGAAAACAATTTCATAAATGTAAAGAGAAAGCGAAGTAAAAAGCAAAAAAAAGGAAAAAAATAAGAAAATGCGTTTTTACAGACCCACCAAATCCACACATGGAAATGGAGAAATAGATATAACATAAACTTATGGGACATATTCACGCATTTCACAGCATTTGCATATTATGCTCTGTTGCTCTTCTTACTCTCATTTGGTTATTATTGTTACATTGTTATTGTTGTTGTTATTTTTTCAAAAACTATCCTCTTCATCATCTTCAATAACTTCATACATTTCGGGCGTTTCGTGTCATAGCGTTGAGCTGTTCGCGAATGTATCTCCTTCTTCGGACCAGCTGACCTCCATGGGTGTAGCTGATAAGCTATTAATCTTCTTAATTAGCAGCACTTCTTCCAATGAAATATGAGGATTTTTTATTTGGTTCGATGAAGAGGACGATGTCGAATCCGAAGCAGCAGCTGATGAGGTGGATACTGAACTTGCCATATCATCCGAAGAAGCTGAACAGCTTTCATCTTCAGAATTTGTACCGGAAACCATGGCTTCGCCCGCAGATTCTTGAATTTCTTGGCATTTTTTATTACCTTTCAAGTCATGCACCGAAGGATGAGATGGTAGTGATCTCATTTCCAAACGTTCACCAGAATTCAGAGAGGACGTATCACAAGTAATAAGTTTACTACTGGGTGAGCTACGTCTAAATAAAATTTCTTGATCTCCATGTTCGCTGGAAGATTCCCTCTTGAAATTCGAAGAACGTGGGCGCACCGTATAAGGCGAACTAGTTACTAAGGATTCTTTCCAAACATTCGCAGTCAATTCAATTTTCCGATTATTTCCTCCAGAATGTTGACGGATTAATTTTTTCGTTGATTTTTGTCCGGTTTCGGTACCTTTGACGCTTACAGATTTTGAACGTATACGTGATTGCGCGCGATTGATAAATTCATTTGTCGCCTCTTTGGAATGTTCTCTAATCACCGATGTCGCTGACATGGACTGGGATAGAGGATGTGGACCGGCCCCTATCATACTATTGTTACTGTTATTAAGTGCATTGCTGTTGCACATGGCTGCGTTAGCACTTACTGACAACTGCCGGCGCGTAGATGGACTACGTTCAACTGAACGAAATGACCCAGCTCTTTTAACCAATTTGGACGCGGCAACCTCCGGGGTTTCATCATCCATTTCGAGAACCCAAGACACTGAATCGGTTTTTTCGATCACCCCCTTGACCACTGGCGATGAAGGCGGTGACACATCTTCCACATGAGTGCTGTTTGTCATAGACGATCCATTTAACATCGAACGATTTATCAAACCCAAACTACTGCTGTTCATCATTTCATTACTTGCCGATAATTCAGCCAGTTTAGCTTCAACGATGTGCAATTGTTCAGAACGCTGCTTCAATTGCCATTGCAAGGCTTCATTATCGTAAGAGAGACGGGTGCGCTTAACAGTTTCATGATTGAAGGCTTTCTGGATCTCATCCATTTGTCGTAGAAAATCCCTGTTTAAGTGGAAATAAAATTGGAAAAAGATGAAGATTTTCATTGAAAATCGCAAAAGGATAGAGTTTACTCACTTTTCTTTATCTGATTTGATTTCCAGTTCCGATTGCAACATTTCGTTCTTAGACTCCAGTAAAGAGATTTTATTCTGCAGTGATGATCTCTCCTCGGCATCGCGCAGCAATTCTTCATTTTGTTTCGTAAGTTTAGAGATCTCTTTTTGCTTGAGCTCTAGAACACAACGTAAGCTTTCCGCTTCACTTTGCAAGCGTGAAATTTCCATATTAGCTATTGAGCTACTATTTCTAGGTGAATTATTGACTGCGCTTTCATTTAAGCTGCGACGTGAAGTACGTAACACGGCCAATTCATCTTGCGACAAATTTAGTTTATCCTTTAATTCGCGTTCATTATTCTCTTTAATAGCACGCAGTTGGTCCAGCTCTTTGGAGAGTAATTTAATGCGTTCATTTACCTGTTGCTCACGCTCGGCGGCCATTTGTATACGGCCTGCACACGTGGTCTGTACATTTGTAATTTGCTGATGCAACTCTTGCTCGGATCGCTCCACAGCTGTAAGGCGTTGATGCAATGAACGTTCACGATCTTCTGCTGCTTTCAGTTGTTCTTTCTTCTGTGATAATTTATTTTCCATTTCGAGACGATAACAATCCAAGGTACGTTTATATTCGGTTTCTTTGGCATTTAGCTGATTTTCAAGTTCCGATATCTGTTGTTTGGCCAATAGCTGGAATTCCGAGAGCTGAAGGCTGGCTATAAATAGCAAAAGAGAAAGATTCAACATTTTTTCAAATGACTTGTGAAAAAAAAAAGCTTTTAATACTTTTCTCCAATTCGCAACGGTGAAGCGCATGAAGCTCATTTTCCCGTTGCGCATAGTAGGCCTCTTTATCGCACAGCTGATCTTGCAGTTCAGAACAGGCACTTTTTGTCTCCTCCAGTAATATCAAAGTTTTACGCAGCTTTTCTTGCGCAGTGACATTTTGCACTTTAACCGTAGGGCAAGCAAACGCATCCAACTGAAATCAGACATAAAACAAGGACATTTCAATTAAAGTATTTTTTTTTACTTTCTAAATACAAAAATTGTCTGCAAACACACATACCCAAGCCATGGAAAATTTGTGTTTCGAATAAGTTTATAAAATATTCCTTATGCGCGCTCTAAGAGAGAAAACGCAAAATATCCGCAAAATAACTACGTGTTTACCTCTACGCCACCTTTGCACAAATGAACTGAATTATTGCAACGATCACGAATTTACTGAGTGTGAGAATTAAAAGTGGAAATTATCCTTTACATAGAGAATGTTTGTTCTCAGGGCTCAGGCATTTTTTCTTTTCTTTTCCATTATCCCAAATGCTTACAATTCATTTATATTTTCAATACCCTACTCGAGGTATATAAGACGTAGACAAAATAATAACATTGTGCAGATCTGTCAGGACCTGGGGACCTTTTATTGTATTGATTGACTCGATATCATCGACCGTGTGATTGTTGTCTACGCACTCTTTTTAGTGCTCAACGTGTAGATCAGGAGTTTTGAGGTATTTTAATAATTTTAAGCATGAGGTATCCTTGGCCCATAGGCCAGCCGTGTCGCATGGAAAGAGGGCAACAGCAGACGGAAAAGGGTCGGGCATATCGCCATACCAAATTGATTTGAGAAATTGGGATTGGCAGCATGTACGTATATATTCTTTTTTTCATGTCCCCTATGCGCGTGCGGGCACGATGGTGGTCAGGAAGGGCGATTATTTAGGTGAGATGAATGGAGGGCGCGTTTAACTTAAAAGTGGAAGCATCAGGCACGGGTAAGTTGTTTCACAAGCGGTTTGTTTGATGCAGCAATGACCAGTCACGCCGGTTGTCTTGTATGATAAATAGGCAATCGTAGGGCGAATGAGTGGAAGCACTTAAAAAGCCTTGTGATCCTGTTAAAGGATTTCATTGTCTTTTGTCTCCATAGAATATTTGCTTTGGATGTATCCTTACGCACTCCACATTAGACCGTTGGTCAAGGGAATCGACACTTTTGAACATTCGCTGTATGCGGCCGAATACTCTCAAGGTGCCGCTAAAACGTGCGAGTTATACTCTCAGTTTGTTTCGAATTGACATGATCGAAAAAAACAACGGTAGATATTGGTCAATAAAAATAAATTTACATAAGAGTTAACAGCAGCAAATTCGAGTTACAGAGGTCAATATTATATAACGATAACCAGGATTTCTATGAAAGCAAGTCTTTATGAGACAACAAAGCTTAGCCTCTAGCATTGCGATAGTGGAAGTCGGTGAAGAATGAAAAGAACCTTGACAAAAAAAGGAATTTTCCTATAGTTAGGTCACATTTTGGACCATATCTCATGTAGCAGTTCCCCGTAAAACGAGCTCTTATACAGAAACAAGATATTATTTTTAATATATTATCTCAAAAAGAAAAAAAAAAATGTATTACAAATTATATTAGATAAAGTGTTTTGGTGCATTCAGCAATCGGCCTTGCCGGCCGTAATGTTTTCGCTTGTTTTAAGTATATTTTCACATATCTCGCGTTTTCATGTAAATAAAATAAAAGCAAGAAACAATCAGACATGGGAACTAAAGACTGGATTTAATTTCTTTTTAATGCTTTGTCTAATCTTCGTGTTTTTCGCGAGTCTTAAGATTTACTTATGAAACAGGTAAAGAAAACTATAAATTCTTTATTCGAATTTTGCATATGTTTCAAATAGTCCTTCGTAGGTGTTTTTTCGGCAATCGTGTCGCGTATAATTCATCCTGAAAATTTTATGCTTGAAAGGTCGTAACGAATTCGAATCAACGCCTAGTATAAGCTGGACAGGTACACCTATCTTTTTGAAGACTACCTTCCCATTTTTAACTGTTGTAACTATATTTGGGAAAAGCTCATCACAGATCTGATGAAAACTCAGATATGTATGAAAGAGATTGCAGAGTTAATTAATATTACAAGTTTCAATTATTCAGGCGAAGCGAGCTAAGAATATACATTCGTCTAGACGTTACCAACCAAGCAGATTATAAAATCTAGTCTACCTTTATCTTTTAGTGATGAACTCAACACATGTACATTAAGGGATGATTTTTAAAGCAGTAAATTATTTGTTTCCTGTTAAATGCATATTCAAGCTATAAACGCGTAAAATTTTCTCTAGCCTGGTTTTTCAAAATATTTTATATGAAACACAGATAGCCCAAGAAAAAGGATAATTCGAAATTAACGCAGCGTTAATTTTTATACTTATCACCGACGGATGATGGTTATATTCGTGTTGTCAAAACGTTTGCAACGCCTAAAAGAAAGCATTAAGAACCCCACAAATTCTAAATCGATTTAAGCATGTCCGTCTGTCCATCTGACCGTCTGGATAATGTCTGTTCTAAAATGAAGCTATTGACTTCATATTTGGCAGAAACATTAGAAGTTCTTGCACGTAGGTTGTCATTGAAAATGGGCCAAATCGGTCAAAGGACACGCCTACAACATCACGTAATCTGAGAACACTTATACTTTTTAAAGGGAATGAAAAATTTGTTTTTTTACTCATTAGTCATAAGCTGTAGCAAATTAATAAACAAAAATTTTAACGCATACTGTACGGGCAATGCTTGGAAACACACATGGAAACAATTAATCCCACCTACCCAATATTATAGCGGATCAAAATTGAATTATTTTTCAATACCTTTAGAACACGCAGAAATAAGCTTCAAAAATCCCATGAACTATATAAATTCTGTGCTAGCTCAAATCTTGATTGCACGGCCGTCTGTTCGTCTTTTCGGGCGGCGCAACTTTGTAGCATTTGTCTTAAACATTCTCTCGTTGGCGAAAATGAAGATATCGCCTATAAATTTGCAAAAGAATTTGGAATTGAAGAAGAATTTTAAACTTTTCAAAGGGCACGCCTACAACGCCCATATGCCTCTACAAACCAAAAATTTTAATTTGAAAACAGCGCCCACTCCACGTTGTAGAGCATGAGCATTTTATTCTTTTAGTTTTTTTGTCTTTTTTTGGGGTAAACGGTGGTGGGTGTAAAAGATTCGGTCCCGACCGTATTTAATTTATTTTTTTAAATGATATCAAATTTTAAAAAACAGGGATAAAGCGATTTTAGCCTTATATGACATTGCTAAAGAGGAGAGTCTCTAATAGGATTTTCAAACTAAACTCTCATTCTTTCTCATTTCTTTCTAGTTCACTGGGACAGTAAAGTAAAGAAAACTGTGGTGCTAACTGAAAGCAATATTTCAAAATGCAATTGTTGGACATCTGAGTTTGAGAGGCCGTCTTCAATACATGACAGGCAATATCAACAAGTTAGGAGAGGTGTTTTCTTATAATGAAAAGAAAAACCGAAAGCCATTAAATGATTTTCTATTGAAGACGAATCAATTTTTCGCCAATTGAATGTTTGTTCAGTCAGTCAGTATTTAAACATTTGCGAGTGTATATATAAACAACTAGCAAGCCAAATTCTTCATGGTACGTTTTACTTCCCTTAGTGAAGAGTAAACTCATTTGTAATTTATATGTGCTTCTCGACACCCAATTTATAATCCGAAAATTTTCCCTTCGATAATAAGTAAAATGCACATTTTACTGATAGCTGTGAACTTTCCCCTCATTGCAGCGACTTCATAGATTCCATGAGTTTGCTGGATATCAACCGGCCACAATTTTTCATAGGCAACCCATTCATCATAAACCATCATTTATCATTTTTTCCGTCTTTCTTCTGTATATTATTGACTCGGAAATATTGTGAAGGTCATAAGCAGATTTAAATTGTTAGGTAAACCGTTGAATTCAATAATTTTGGATCCTAACATAGCCACAAAAAAAGCCACGAGCCTGAGTACCTCTGTGAAATTATCCCACACAAAGCAATTTCTAAGCACATCAAGACATTCTTCCGCATTCAATAAAAGAAATAGAAGACAATACCTGACAGTTTTGACGGCAAGCTTTAAAATTCATTGACGGTTTATTCAGTAAACAAGATTCCTGTGTCACACTCAGTTAGGCAAAATAAAGCAACTCTTTCTACTGTATTCGTTCTATGTAAAAAAAAAAAACTTTCTTCAGCACGTAAGTAATCGACGAGCAGTGTTCGGTGACCTAACATAAAATCCATAAAAAATTAAACAAATTATCTCTAATGCAAGCTTTTTCTTTCTGGATATACCGTAAATCTTATAGAAAAGAATAGATTTTCTAGTGCAATTCAAGTTCCGCTGACGCTTTGCATAAAACGTTTTTCTACCAAAAAACAGATCCTGTTAATAATCTATTTTTTCATATGTTGCAAGAGTCGCAGAAATGGAGGTAAGAAGCTGAAATGTGAAATCCAAAAAGCTGTTACCCGCACATACTTTCATATTTCCAAACTCTACTATAACTCATCCACGTCGAAGATTAAAAAGAATCAAAATGGCTTACCCTTTAGCTCTAGTATTAAGCAATGATTCTTTTTATAAAAAAATGCTAATAAACTTTGTGATCTCAATCTGTCTGGTGCCTTCAAGAGGTTTCATTCTACGCTGTTTAATTTGTTTGCAGATAAATATTGAAGAAAAAAAATCTACTATGCAATGCAAACGCGAGTATATATAAATGATTCCCAAGTATTATGGCTGTTCATTTAAAAACATTTTCAGAAATCATAAAAATTAAATATAATATAATGTTCAAAAAAAAAAATGGAGCAGATGCAACTTGCAAACTCTCTAAGCAATTGAAGATATCAAGTAGACTAAAATCAGATCACAAATGCAACAAATTCCATGACAATCTTGACGCCTTAAAGTAATAATGATTCTTTCCATAAAACCGACCGACCCCCAATAACGTTTTGCTATAAAATTAATTGAAAAAAAAAAAAAAGAAAAAAATCTTTTCACATAAAATTTTTCAAAACTTACATCATACACTAAATATTGCAAGAGCACTGCCAGCGCCTCAATGCTTCTATTTTGTTGTTGACTTTGTTCCCTGAAAAGGGTTTCTAATCTCTGATATTTCAAAGAATTATTGTACGATGGTGTCGCTTTTTCTGCTTCTTCTTTTTCGTATGTCGTTAATGTAAGCTCATCTTCGGACAGCCGATGTAAGGGCAAGGTACGAAATGAACTGCTTGCGTGAACATGATGCTGTTGTTTGTTTTTCTATCCGTGGAATAATCAAAAAAAAAGAAGAAAAGACAAAAGTTAGTATTGGAAGAGAGAGAAAAAAAAATGGGAAATATTTTCCATTTTCATGTTGCGCGCGATTACCTTATCACTAGTAGCAGTAAATTTACTATTATTAGGTAAAGGCGAGGATGTCCTCGAGCGAACACGTTTATTCTCATCAGATTTATCGGGAAGAAAATTATTGACAACAGCCGAAGAGCTACCGATTTCCTTTATTTCCGATGTTGTTGGCTCTATTTTACTGGCATTTTTTATTGTTGTAGATATAACCGATGTGGTGGAGTTTGTTGGCTGTGCGATCGTCTGATTCAAAATGCGATTGTGATCTAAAAAACAAAACAAAGAAGGAGTAGAGAAACTTTATAGTTTTAAGCAAGAAAATGAAGCAAAGAAGAAAAACGAAAAAGACGATGCCAAGTAAAGATATTAACAATATTTGCAGTCTTTTTGCTATAAGTCTGCCGCAGTTAGACACTACTACTACTACTACTACTACTATATGACGGTGACCTTAAGTGCTTTTCTAATTTAGTCTTTGCCTCGCTTTGTCTCATATAAGACAAATAAACACAATAGCAATAATAAACAATAATGTAAACGGCATAAGTCATTATCATCATCGCAAGCACAGCGAATGCGTTCCAAAAAAAAAAACAGTTTTATTAATAGCTGCCATTAACGTTTATTTATGCAAAGCATCTTAGAAGATTTCAGTTAAGTGTTAAGTCGGTAATTACCGGTCATTAATATATGAAAGGGAAAGTTTTTAAACAGAGCCGATGACAAGCTGTGCCTACAATCACAAGTCGACGTAACGGAATAAAAATTTTATTACACACACTTACATACATTTTATATATATATATATATATATATATACGTCTCACTATTGTTATTGTTATCCTTAACTGAACTTGATTGAATTTACTTTGATTGCACTTTTCAATTAACAATTAGTAAATTTTTTTTTTTTTTTTTTTTCACAACAAAAAACAAGTTAAAGCGGGAAATTTTGTGAGTCCGCTACCTTAATTGTCAACAGATTGAAACTAAAAAAGTCATCATGTTTTCAAAATTTGTTTCATTTCTTCCATATTTTTTTCTATTTTTTTATCATGAAGTAGTAATGTGGTTGGCAGGAGAGTTGACTAGAGTTCGCTGACTCTCGCAATATATAACTCCAAATTTATACAGAAAATGAAACAATTTCCTCATCAAAGCTTGATTAATAAATTAAAAGACTTTTCGATTTTTCATTGTTTTTTTAACGGTTAGTCAGTTAGTTAGTAAACGTTGGTTGCACTCTGTCATGTCTCCAAAGCTTCAATTAAAAAGAAATTTATTGCATGTTTTTAAAAAAAAACGTTAAAAATTTTACGAATTAATTGGAATAATTAAATTTTGAATTCATTAATAATTTTATAGATTTTTATCTTCATGCCAAAATTTCGTTTATATGACACACAAGATTAAAAGATAAATGATTATTATAAAGTCAGAAAAGTATCGGGAAACGATGGCCACGGCACGAACTTTTCTTTGCAAAATTGCTGATAGTTTTCAAGTTTTTAACTGTAAAAGCGGCCAGCAGAGGTAGTAGCAGGTCTATGAATTAGTGGGTTTTTTTATCAAACCAGTCTGCTTGTATTCGTTTAGCACTTCTGTTTCGTCTCAACTTCTTCTGCACTTTAGAAAAGAAAAGTTTTTCTTTTCAAAAAGCCCGTCGGCTAAATCTGCTGATAATATTAGAAATCACGCGTTAGTTAATGATTCTCTTTAGAATCAGTTGTACTGAAAGCTTTCACAAAACTCTTAAGCGAAACGAGTGAAGCCTCACCACGCTATAGTCAATTTTCAATATCATCCCCAGTCATGAAAGCATCGAATAAAAGAAAGCATTTCTACCATATGTCGGATGATTTAATAACGCACTTTGGCGTTTATTGGATAGCCTGACTAAATCAAGTCTAAGAAGGTAGGGCTTAGAAGTTTTGAGATGAAACGCATCCCACTAGGAATTTTTTAAAAGTTGAAAGAAGTGTCCACTAGGAAAATATTGACGAAACAAGTCATCTATCAGATATACGACCTTTTACCTTCGAAGAAAAAAAAAAACTGAAAGAAACAACTGAGACGTAAGCAAGTGCTTCAATAATTGTATTAACAAATCGACCGCTCCCCCGTGGACCCTTCTTATGCGCATCAGGTGCATCATTGAACAAGGCCTCTTTAAGATGTTATATATAATAATAAAATTCCTCCGAAGTTTTTCTTTCGTACACTTTCATACCACAAGTTTCGATATAAAAGTGTGATTCTACAAAGTCACTTAAGAATTTTAGGAGTTCTTGCTTTTTGACTTGAACTTATGATATTTACTTTGATTTTCACTGTTGTAAGTTTTTATTTATTTTGCTTTCCCCACACAGCATGGAAACTTCTAAAGGGTATTTCGTTTCTTCAATTCTCCTTTTACTGAAAACGGCGGCTGCTATAACCTGCCATATTATGTTTTCCGTAACAATCCCTCCCTTAATATCGGTGATAGAGAAAAGCGTTTGGAGAATCGAATGGACGGACCGTTGTATACACATGTAATTTATGCAGATGCGTTTTATTCATCGTAAAAATCATATACAATAAAAAATCAATACAATAATAAAATGGACTTGAAACGATAAACTTGTTAATGATATTGACAATAAAATCATTTTTTTATCAATATTCGCTTCATAAACTCCTATAATAAATTTCAAATACAAAATTATGACTGAATAGATAAAAAAAAAAAAAAAAAAATCAATTAAGTTTTACACCGCGTGTGTGCAACAAGTAAAGGTAAACTATACGTATAGGCGGTGATTAAGTTTGTGTTGACAGTCACGTTAAATGTCGCTTTCTTTGATAAAACGTGATAGTGAAAATATTGCGCAGTCGCGCGAACACACAAAAATTCGTACTTGCGCCTATCAAAGACAACATCTAAAAATTTCTTTTGTCACTTTTCAAACCAACACCGTAAACGTGTTGGAAGTACTCAATGAATGCTGCACAGACACGTAATAAAAATTTGTTTTAAAAAATTTCCCCACTTGTTCGGGAAATTTTTCTTTAAGATTATACTAACAAACACAAACACATACATACTAATTGTTTATACGAGTGCCTGTCGATATGATATGATATGTTAGATTGTTCAAATGGTTGGACGATTTTCATTCTTATCTAGAATCCCATAAATGTATACATGCTCACCAAACGCAATTGTCGTGCGTTGCATTAGTATCTGTTAGATATATATATATATATATATATATAATTTGGATAATTTCCACATATTTTGTGGGTTTTCCTCTGCACACAAATGTAAGTTCTTTCATATCCATGCAATTGGGCGAATACAGAAAGAATTGAATTTTTTCGTTCGCCAAACAAACATCACTGGATATCTTTTATATCTGTCCGTCCTTCTTATCCTCCAGAAATTGTTTTTTTTTCTTTTACTGTTTTTCCTTAATCAACGAAAAAGCCGCTAAAGCAACATAAAAGCGCTCAACCTTTTACGGCAAGAAGTAACTGACGTGAAATGCCCGGAATTCGTTTCAAACAGTATTGCCATATGTAAAAATGTTGCGTGGACTTTGTAGGAGCTACCTTTTACAATTTCTACGGCATAGAAATACGTCCCGCGCCTATTTTCCTGTCCACCTGCATATATATGTATTGGTTTATCATGTAAGCAATAAAAAATATTTTATTTGATATGTTGCCAAACATTGCCTTCGACATATAAATACATTTATATGTCAGATAATATATAATGCGATATTTTCCATATCCATATGATCAGGTATGCAAATATGAAGCCGGAATTTGTCCATAGATGGTTGTAGCTGTCAATGCACTGGTTGCATATTTACATACCCGATATATATTGCATTTCTATATATATTTTAACCCTTAATGGAACAATGACGCCAACGCACACAGCTTGGCTCATTTAGTTTCTATATTCTAATGCCGCGTATAGGGCGTGAAAAACCATTCTATTCCGTTTATCATTCTTATCGCTTTCACATTTATTATTAAGGCAATAAGCGTTGTGACCGGTCGCTTCTGTACGTATTTTTCCACTTGTTAACTTAAACTTGAAATCCTTCCGACCCGTTAAGAGTTAATAAGTAAAATGTCATATATGTTATTTGTACGCAATACATTTATCAGACAAACAATGTATCGTGTAGTATATAGTGTTGCATATATAGTATTGCTTGACATGTTCTTACACTTGCAAAGTATCTAAAGCTTCCGGATGACTCACAATTTCTCTATTTGCAAAAGTTAGGCAACAACAAAGTCAACCAAGCTATCAGACCTAAACCTAAACCAATTATCTCTCTTTTATACGTTTACAGGCAGATGGGTGTGTAAGTTTTTAAATACGAGTTTAAATTTCATCCATTTCTTATTATAATTGTTCTCTTTGTTTGTATTTAGTGCACAATATTCAGATTGAAAACAATTGCAAATTTTTAAATGGAAACATATCCCACTTTGTAGCGAATGCCAGTAAAGCATTGCGAATTTCATGAATGAAAAGTTTATTTATTAGTTGCCCTCATTTTATTCGGATCATTAAACGTTGAGCAACAAAAAATTGTTGAACAAAACTTAAAACATTCTCTGCGCAACTTAATTAGAGGACACATAGTTTAGTCCGCTGTTTGAGTGTGTTTTTGTGTGCGTTCGCATGTCTATAATAATTTAGTTGTTTTTTTTTTTTTTGTAATTGCTCTTGTTTTGTAAATGGAGTCTACAGCGAGATTTCCGATTTTGAGATGAGCGCACAGCAGCTTAAATACAAATTAAAACGAGAATACATGCAATTGTTGACGACAATTAGTTTGCTGTTGCCATTAAAATTTTATACGCTATGGTGAACATGTTTCATAAGTGACATCATGATGTTTATAATGGTGAATTTATTTTATTGATCGGCTGTGGCTCGTACATCCACACATGCCTTACAGCCTATGAACATGAAAATTCAACTCTTGGTTGAACTTGATTTCAAGCTTATGAACGTTTGTTTTTTTTTTTTTTTTGAATGTTTACTGCATTTTAGTTGACATTGAAAACGCCAACCTCCTATCCAAGCAGTAGCACGTTTTCTTTTCTTTCTTATAAATAAAAATATTTTTCTTTAATTTATTCTCTTTCCATTGGATTTACAGCAAAGATATATGTGTGTGTTGTCTATGCATTTATTTAGATGTCAATGCCTCCATTTCCGATACTATTGTCAGACAGTATGGCATACATTTTT